TTCTGAACCGATTGCTTAAGCATCAGACAGCTTTCCTTTCATATGCATTGTTCACACAACAGTGCAAATCCCCATCTATCTGCCTAGACACAATCACCACCACCTTAGAACATCATCACCTTCTCTTAAGCCATGAGCACTGCTATGTTAGTAATGAAGTAGTCCAGGTTTTGTTTTCCAATATAATTTTTCCCCATAATTCTGAGTGTTTGAAACCTACCTACATTATAACATCTATTGAAGTATATAACAAAGTATGACGAGGAGTAGAGGGAAAACTATTTTATTTCCATTTTTATTAGTAAACTGTTGCTTAGAAGTCTGTAAGTACATTAATGCTGAGTAATGTGCCTAACAGATGAAAATATTTTCAAAAGGGACTGAAATAACAGTTAAACATTTTAGAAAATTTTTAATGCTAGGCCGTATGAAAACTATATTTATCTCTTCCTCTTCCATGCAAATATATATATATTTTTATAGCTTTATCTTTTTTTTTGAGAAATCATGTATGATATATAGAAAGTCAAAATGTTTCAAAATTATATGAAACAATTATTTGAAGTCTAAATACACAAAAATTGGTAATGAATTTCTATGTTAAAAAGAAACCTTGTACAACATATTTTACATATTTTTGAGCTGTTCACATTGCTTTCTAAAATTTAATGATGGAACTGTATTTCAAAGTCAGTACTCCATCTACAATTATAGGCTAAAACAGCAGAAGAGGAGTAATATCCCTGTATGAGTCTGCTGAATCAACACAGAATGTTTTTTTTCTTCAGTCGTGGCAAAAAAAAATGAAAATGAAGCATGAAAATATTCAAGGACTGACTGTCCTTTCCACAGAAGTGAATCTGGTGGTATTTCAAGTTTTAATACACAAAATTTCAGTGTCTAATTCTAGCTTAATTTGGGATTTATTGATAACCAAACCCAGAGATCTCTAAATAAACAGCTTGGACAGCATTTTCCTTTCAAGCATTTCCAAAAAGTTTTCCATAGGAAGTATACAAACTAAGTCAATGAATGTTTGGTATTCTGCCAAAGTATTCATGAAATATGTCTGCTCAATGAGCGACCAGGTAAAGGGAAATAATGTTTCTCCTCAGACTTGCAATGGAGGATAAAAACTCCATTTCTCCCATTATACTACTAAAGCTGAAGGTCTCTGACCCTTGGCTGCTGCAAACTGGGGAGATATTCTCTGGCTTGCAGAGAATATCTCTGTGTCTGAGAACAAATGGAAAATGTCCAGCATGAAAAACATTAGCCAAGCGTTTGGGAAAACCTGTGTATTTCACACAGCAAAGCTTGGGGTAACTCACTGGACTGCCTGACAGAGGCAGGGGTGCAGTACTACCACCTGCAGCTGTGTAAGTAGTTGTACAAAGGTGACTGTGCCTGCTTAGATTTGTGATTACCAACAGCAAGCCAGAATGTGTCAGCAGTTATCATCACCTCCCTGTTCTTGGAATATCAAATAACCACAGTATTGCAGACATAGCTGAGGGCAACCAAATGCTTCCTCTTTCTTTACAATTGCTTTGGCAAATGAAATGTAACTGATGATGTCCCAATCCATGAAATGTGGTTGGTAAAAAAACTGTCAGTGAGAAAAAAACCCCATAAGATATGAAGGTAGAGGTAGCCTGGGAGTCCCTTGAGAGGAGAACTAAAGAGCAACCATTCCAGTGAAGGCGATGCTAGCCCAGGAAAATGGGCAGGGATGTAAAATAATGGATGACAAAAGAAAAGGAGTAAGCAAAGAAAATAATCAGAATGAAAGACAGACATAATGTAAAAGATCCTATTTATCTCTCTGACCTGAGGACAGATAAAGAATTTGAAATGCTGCCAAAGCTACCTTTGTTTACACCTAAACACCAATATGAATTTAGTTGCCTTGCCCTCTTTCCCACACCCTTCTGATATATACTACATACAGAAAGTTACTAATTAGTAGACTAGAAAAAAGGGAAGAAAAATGGAAAGATTTCTGTGGTTTCATTTCTTTCATAAAATTTGCCATTAGTACATTCCATTTTGAAAAGTAATTCAAAGTGAATGTACTAGCGGCAAATTTTATGAAGGGAAGGGAAACCACAGAACTGGACAAAATATGTTTGTTGGCAATCCAGAAGCAAGGCACATTCAAAAATGTTCAAGTTACATGGCTCACTGCAAATAAAGCATCACCAGCACCAACAACATTACCAACAATGGTGGAGAATGAGGGGATGGAGGGAAAGAAGGTCTGGAGATTTTTCAGTGCAGAAAAAGAAACAGTTGCAGATAGAAGTGATATTTTAAAGTAGCTGCTACCCCAGCTATAGACAGTAAGCTTCGGGTAAAACTTGCTTTTTTTTTTTTGTGTCTGTATCTGCTATTATAATAAAAGGTGTTTCCTCCCCATACAAAACTTGTCTTTCTTGAAGTTACATAGGATGGCTTACTTTGTTACCCAGGTGGGAGATTTCACTCTCCTCCCTTGTGCCCACCCCCCCTCTTCAATACTGACATTAATTTAACCTTTTCCTGCCTTGACTCAACTCAATAACCTGGCAGAAAAATAAACACGAAAATATTTTGTTGTTAAATTGTTCAACAATCCAATCAGGTAATTACAGCAGGTGGAGCAAGAGTGAGGGCATACATCCTAAAGGTAAAGGGGCTGTTGGAAAGGTAGAAGCAACAGGACTTTCTGGTTTTTGAAGCAGCTATACTATGTAGTTTTGTTCTTATATGCTTAGACCACTAGAACTACAATAAAAGTAGTGACCTAATAAACTCGACATAGGTATACTGCAGTTCAAAAAAACCCCAAGCCCATGCATGACATTTGTTAAGTGACTCCTGTGGGACATATGTTTTGGATTAAGAGCTTTCCTGAATCACTGTAAAAAAATATATTTTCAAATATTTGGCACAGAAGTTGCAGTAATTTGCATGAAAGAGGAAAGATGAAGGGACAAGCATAAGCCTTCAAGAAGAGACTTGTGCTTGATGCCTTCAAGCTTTATGAAAATAGGTAAGGAACAGTGGAATTAGATTCACCACAGAGGCAGTAAAACTAAGAAGAAAAATCAACAGAGAGCAAGACTTGTAGGTTTCCATAGCAGAAGTTTAAACAGAAGCATGATTTAAAATTTTAGTTTTGCACATGGCATCCATAGTTAGATATCTTAGTAGAAATGGTTTCTGCAGAGATGAAATAACAGAGCAAATAGCTCAAAAACATCAAGGGCAAATAACACAAAAATCCATACATTAGAAAGAAAGGAATGGACATGACATTTAGATGAAAAGCAGTAACAAGAAATTTAAGTCTCCAGGACTTTAGGCAAATGGAAAATTATGACAGGCTGTGATCACAGACACCAGAAGCAACAGTTCACCACTTCCATCATCATCATATTTAAAGCAACAGTTCACCACTTCCATCATCATCATATTTAGATTATGTGATGACATGGATCATCTCACTATGATCCAACTATGCATTGCCATAAACACAAGACAAGGTTGAGAAGCAAGTAGCTTATACTTACTTACTAAGTGAGAATGTTTCTTTCAGTATCACTGAAGTGCAATCTTACTTAGCCATGCTGAAACTGTGGTGATGCCAAACCAAGATTCTGGTTGGATCAATAGTCTAAACAGGCATATACTGCCCCCACTGCCAGAAGAGGCAGCTTTATGTCCTATCTCCATGCTGATCCATCACCCAGACTTTTTATGTGGCTATGCAGAGAATTGGGTCATGTTATTGATGTAGGTAAAGGTTCTGGGAAGAAGGCAGCAAACCGGTAGTTTTAAGGTAGTTTAACCGAGCATTACTTTTGAGGGAAAATGTATCTTGGGCCACAGTTTGATACAGTTAATCCAGCTTTACAGTTCCTGGTGTCAGATCAAAAATTATAAGCTTTGACACAAAGCACTTATCCAACACAAATTAACAGTGCATTTTGAATTTGTTTAAATCAGAGCCCAAAATGGAAGAATTACCTGTACACTGGTGAATTTTATACTAATTAGACTTCTCTTCTCCTACAGTTAGTATAACTGCAGCATAGGAGCAAAAAGGCATTGTCAGTTTTGCATTTTGTGTCTGACCTAATTTAGTTCAAGTGTAACAGTGGCCTCACATCTCACCCAGATCAGGTTGATCCTGTTGAGTGACTCAGTAGCACAAAAACATCATATTAAAGTTCAGGGACCAGTGTCTTTTCTGCACTCTGGTCAACAATTTCAGTACTTAGATGTTTCTACTTCATTTTTAAGAGGACTCAGAGTCTACTAGGAGTAAAGGGTGATTGTGAAGTTTTTACTGCAATCTTGTTCCTTTTTCTCCAATCCACAATTCCAATGGTTTGACAGTATCTTTTGTTAGGCCACATTTAAAACCGAGTCACAGTCTGAGTGTCAGCATTATTCAAGGACTTCTTAGGTTAGAGATTTTGTAAGACTCATTTTGGCAGCTGTTACTGCCAATATCTAAAATGGCATTCCTGTGTCATAGCAGGTAGTTTGCAGGGTGCCATTTGCCAGTTCTCTTCTCAAAGGATAGGGCACTGTGAGTACTTGGTTAGTCACAAGAACTTCCTTTGGGTTCCGGAAAATCTGTCTTAAAATTTTTAAAGTCCTGCCACCTCTTGTAATTTGATTGAGAGTTAGGTAACAGTTATTTTATTATCCTCACATCTACCAGAGGCAAAGAACATATTGAGAATGTCAGCTATCATTGGCACAAAAGTGTTTGTGCCTGGCTGTCCTGGCTGCAGAGAAATGTGAGAACATGACCTAATTCCATTCCAAAAGGTAGTTTCAAGTGTGCCATGAAAACACATTGTAGGTAGGTGGAGTTTTTGTGTGCATGTGTGGGGTTTTTTTATAGTTGCGATGAATGATACTCAAACAACCTTTGGCTATCAAGTGGAAATAATTGGTTACCTCATTTTACGGGGACAGTTTGAGGAAAAATGTTTTATACGTACTATTTACTTGGCGTTATGAATTCTGAAGCCATTCAGCACCTAGGCAGGGGATTATCTTTCCTCCATGAAGCAAGAACAGCAGCAGTCCCCATTGCAAGATTAAGGAACTGGAGCAGGAGGGCAAGAGCCCCTCAGGGAAGCAGAGGAGAGGGAAACCAAAGCTCTTTATCGAGGAGGACAGGGCTCAGGGACAGTCACAGAGCCCCACGGCCGTGCAGCCGTGGATAACACGCAAGCTCTGGCCATGAGGGAAGGGGCGGCAC